GTAATTTATTATTCGATTCGTGAATATAACATTAACACTTTTTCCAGCTTTTATTATGATTTAGAATTTTGTTAACTGAAGTTAACATTATCACCATAAATTATATTAATATTGCCCTTAGAACTTCTAAGTACTACTGTATGTAATTATCAAAAGGCTGATTTGATTTTTGGACATGCACTTGTTCCGGCCCTTATTGTGAAACAGCTGAGACATAATCTGAATATGGAGAATATTAACATCTTCCTCTGACATAGTCAGATCACTTTCACGTCAGATTACAGATCATGGAAACCTTAGATATCTGCAAAAGAAGTAAACTTGCCAGTTTAGTACTGTTTCTTGTCTAGTTGATCTATAGAACACAAAAATAACCATAAGATTGGGTGTGATTGCTCCAGCCAGCCTTCTGTCCACTTCCATGTGACTTCTTGGATTACCAAGAGCTAAGAGAAATGAAGTGTCTGAAAAGATATTCAGAGCAATGAACACAGCAAAGGCTCCTATTTAGGCCTAGTGAAGTTTTCCTTTGATCTGTCCATGCTTGATAACGTTTGGCCATTCTACAATCTTTCCTTTATGGGAAATTATCAAATCTTTGATAGCTAAATACACAAATTTTAATGAAAATAATAAATTACAAAAAGAAATTAAGACTTGTATTACTCTCCCAGCTCTCCAAAGATTTATAAACATAAATGCCAAAAACCTGTGGACCAGCTGTGATAGCTTTGTTAAGTGTACATATGTCTCATTCAACATTTATGGTTTATAGATGTATGTAAAATGTACATAAATATATGTGTTTGTGTGTCTCTGTGTGTGGTGTCTGTGTGTGTATGTATGTATATATATAATTAATTCATTTATATAAGCATATATTACACAGAAGCACACACACATACACTATACATATAATCATGGATTTAATTCTTCCACATAAGGAAAAATATCTATTGCTAACAATCAAGTTGATGAAAAGAACATTGGGCAAACATAATTGTGTATGAATGCAAATACACAAAGAATGACTTATGACAGCAAAGAATTTAACAGGTCTTTGGTTTTTTTAGCTGAATACGCGCCAGTTGCCTTGAATGTCTTTTAAAATTCTGCTTGCATAATTTATTTTTTAGCAGCATTTTTCCCCGTATGGAGATTAGAAAATAAGATCTTAACCTGGAAAAGTTGCCAATCTTCAAATATTGGCAATTATGTTATGTATCACAGGAAAAGCATATTTATGTATCTGGATCTAAGTCATTTGGCTTGGCTGAAAAACAAAAATATACCCTGCAGTAAGTGGTGCCAAGGGAGTTTGTCTTCTGTCTCAAGTCCTCTGAACACACAAATATAAACAAGTCAGCTAGCCTACTTCAAGACTGAGAAAATCACAGTGATTAGAAATGCCTAACCCCATTTAGGAATTCCTCCTACTCTTTTCCCGTAAAGTCTCTCATCCCCAAGAATGTCTTGAGCGATACTTCTGATAAACCAAACTCACTTTTGGTTACTTTTACAATTACTTTAAAAATGTATTTCTTCAAGATTTGTCTCAGTGTTCGACCTGAACCATATATTCCTTGGTTTATTATCTGTTATTGAAATACAGATACTTAATTTACAACCACAATGAAGACTAGAAAATTCATTGTTAGGGGATGCAGTTGTTGAGTTAGGCATCCAATTTTACCTTTTTTGTCAGGTTGGTGAGTGAGACATCACCTGATTACAATTTGAGATTTTCCCTGTCAGCTTCCCCATTGACTTTGTTGTCGGAAACCAGCTGGGAAGGTTGCAATGGCAATCATATGATCCAAGGATGCATCAACAGTCATAAATGTGCTCTGATCATGTGACTGTGGGAATGCTACAAAGGTCATAAATGTGAAGATTAGTCATGTCATTGTTCTCAGCCCTGTTGTAACTTTTAACAGTCACTAAATAAATGATCATAAGGCGAGGATTATCTGCATGGTATATTCCAACAGAAGTACATTCTCTTTTATTGGATTCCTTGATTTAAAATGAAATTTAAACCACTAAAAACCCAAAAACATACTAGTAATTTGACCAGAAATCTTGGAATGCATTACTATAAATACATAACTGTGAAAACATTAAGCATACTGTTATGAGTTTTTATATGCATTCCCAGGTTAGTGGACTCCAAACCTCCAAAAAAAGCCAACACAACCCTACCTGGCCTCCAGGCAACACACCCACAAATACTCAAAGGCTTGTACTTACTGTTTACTACACCACTCTTCTCCTAGTCTACTACAACTCCTGTTTCCACTTACTACTACTCTTTGTGAGCTCAGGAGAACAGTAACAGTAAATTTGCCTTAGGCTGCTTTAGACTGTTTTAGTTTCAGTTTAGATTTTTTTAGTTTTAGTTTCCATCTCACATCAACACACACACCCTACCCCCAGCTGCCTCTCTACTCAGCTTTTACAACCACAGGTTGCTTGCTGGCTAGGGAGATGTCTACCCAGGTGCTAGCCATTTTCCTCTCACACACACACTTAGGCTGATTTCTGAATAGATGCTTATTCTATTACATAGGCAATAGAAAATCCCAGAATCATTCAGTTAATATGCCATCAAAATTGATATTATTTGAAAATGGAAGAAGCACAAATATAAAGTTAATTAAAACAACGAATAAGGATGGATAATAAAGGATGGTTTCAAGGAAAAGCCGTGAATTGAAGATTCAGTTGTATAGATACTAAAACTATTTTAAAGTTTATCAAGAATTTGTTATAAAAACCAGTACACAACACAATTGTGTTTATGAAAGAAAGCCAAATTAATAATTCCCTCAACACTATAATCAGAAAACATATTCAGAACACTATCAAATATGGCTTCTATAACATAACCTGTTGAAGTTTTATAAATTTCACAAATTAGTGAATGTCTGTCCTCTTACAATTCCTTATTACCAGCAAAAAGATTTTAATCATTAATTCCAAACCCAAGAATATAAATGCTCAACAATGCTAGTAATAACCTAATCCAGGAACAATGCTAGTAATAACCTAATCCAGAAACATTCAATCAATACAATGCAATCAAACTTTACACATATACCAAATCCAAAAACACTACTTTTCTTTGAAGTTTCCATGCTGATTGTGAAAACACCTACTTTAAAAGATAGCTTATCACTTCAATTTCCTATGATAATACATGGTAACCATAACATCTCAGTCAGAATGCACAATTATCCCTTGTTTTATATTTGGATTAGAGTTACTAATGCTGAAATGAATGCAAAATTTAGAAAATTCACTGTTTCAGATGAAAATGAAAATATTTAACACAGTAACAGGGATGCATAGGAAGGATATTGCTGAAAGAAAACCAGTGTTAAGCCTATTAACACTGTTTCTATTTAAACCTAAACAACAACTACTTGTACAGTTAGCAGTATTAGTTGGCTTCTCTAATACTAACTTATATTAAGTATCATTAACTAAATGACTGAAATAAATTTTCTGCGTAGTTAGCATATCTTGAAGAGACAAGTTTAAAAATTCCCTGTATTTATGTAACTCAAATAATTACTCAGGGTATTATCATGTTCAGAAACTGCTGGTAGAAGTACCTAAGCAAACTAGCACATTTTATTTAGCATCTCTTCAAACTGTGATCCTAGTTTGTTGCTTTTCTAAAAAAAGAACCAACCTAAGATTGTAGTTCTGATTCTGTTGTATTATGAGAAAAATATTCTAAGAAACCCAATACAAACAGAGCATTAAACAAGCCAGAGAAAATTCCAAGTTGTTTTTAGCTAGTTTCAGCTAACAATTCTGGCTTATGATGTACAAACCAGAGTATTCAATGCCCATCTAATTTCATATATGAAATTAAATGCATAACTTTTTACTATTTGAACAATCATTCAACGATAATTCATATTGCTATGACAACCATATTAGTTAGCTATCCAAGATTCACGGGCAACTCCTAAAGAGAGCTATTAAAAGTTTTGTCAAGTATTTATATTCAATTCTGTTCAGTTTTTTTTAAAAGGGTTAAAAATAGAAATCTGGATTTTCATCATAGTGCGTGTGTATATATTAGCATTCCCTTTTTATTTTACATAGTCCAAAAAAAGGTCTTCTTTAAATGGGAGGGTCCTTTAATCAAGAAAGAAAGGAACAACTTTTTTTTTATGCCAGTGTCATCATTCTTGTGCTTACTGCATTCAGCTGAGAAACTCAGAATTGAACCAACCATTAAAACTTTTTTTTTGAGTTTTGGGGGTAAAAAAAAACAAACACCAAATAGCAGCAAAAGAGTTCAAAATTATATCCCCTCTCTCTCTCTCCCTCGAGAAAGTCCTGTCCATTTCTACGAAGGGTAGTGAAGGAGGTTAGAAGAAGATTGTCACACCTGGGGAAGGAAGACAAAGTTGACATATTGCAATAGCCGAGAATAAACCACATGCCAATCATAAGGGAAGCAGAGGAAGTGGGGGAGGGGGGTGGGGAACAGAGATAAAAATCCGATTCGGTTATAAGTGCCACAAAAACGCAGGAGGATAGGAGAAGATCAAAAGACAATAGTGGCTTTTTTCTTTTCCCCCACCCTCCCCTCTTCTCCCTACGCCCCTTCCTCACCACCACAGGCAAGGCTGGCTGGGCCTTCGAGCCCCACTTCCCTCTCCCCTCCCACCCCCAAAGCTCTTCTACATGCAACTCCCACACAAGGCGCAGGTCTGGGAAGGAGCCCCCTCCCTCCTTCCCCCAACATCAGAAGGAGAGTACTGGGTCTCGTAAGGCCAAGGGAGAGCCGAGCTTGGGCAAAAACCATGGCCGTCATTCCCTCCGAAGCACGCATTATCCGAGTCCGGAGAAAGGCCAAGCCTGGGAAGCGCCCCACGCCCAACTCCGAACGGGCCTTTTTTGCAAGCTCCCTTCTTTCCCCCCCCCCCCCCCCCCACCCCCCCCCCCCCCCCACTCTTCCCTTTCCTCGTTTTACTTACCCCCAGAACCCGCAGGGGCAACGGGGCGGCAAGCTGGGGGCTTTGCTGCGCTCGCTGCCGGCGTCTCCCATGGCGGCGGCGGCGGCGGCGGCGGCGGCGGCGGCACCGGTGCTCAGGGTCAGGGCAGGGGAAGGGGCAGCTCAAGGCAAGAGGATCCAGGCCAGGACTCGAAGCCGGGATTCCAGGCCGGTCAGCTGGGAGTCGGACGCTACCACTATAAGGAGACGGCTAGGTGGGTGGGGGAAGAAGAGGCGGCGGCGGCGGCGGCAGTAAACGACGGCGGCGGAAAAAGAGGCAGCCGCGCCCTTTGGTGCTTGAGGTGACACTGAGCTACGGGCGGAGGCTACCGGAGGGTTGTGACGGGCCCACCACATGCCATCCCCGCGGTTAGCGCGCGCCCCCTGACCCAACAATGCCCTCAGCTCCTCCCCCTCAGGCGAGTAAGGGTGGTCTTGTCCTCCCGCAAGGCTAGGCTTTCAAGTGGGGCGTACCAACGCTCGGAAAAATAAAGGGGGAGGGCATCGGAGGCGGCGCGGAAGGCTAGCGCGGAAGCAGAGCTTTTCTTTAAAGAAGCAGGACCGCTGGGTAGTGGTGGTGGTGGTGGGTTTAAAACGGACAGCATTCCGCGGCGAATAAGCCCGAGATTTGTAGTTTGGGAAACGATCGGATAACACACACACCCCTACACTACTACTTGTCGATGGGGTGGCCTGAAGCGATTGGGTCAAGGGTGAGAGAGAGAGGAGTCCGCGCATGCGTGAGATTAGAAACCCGGAAATAAGAGTGCGGTAAAGAGCTTCTCTTGAGAGGTTCCCCTCCCCCTGCTACATGGAATTCCCTGACTAAGCGGCGGCAAACCCTGGGAGTTCCTGTGGAGGTTGCCTTACCGGCGGCTTTCTCTTCTCAGTCGTCATCATCTCTCCCCCCCCTCCCTCCTTCCTTCCTTCCACACGCTTTAACTACCAGTTTTTCCACCGATTCCTTAAAAAAAAAAACACACACACACACAACAGGTTGTGGTTGGAAGCTGAAATCGTGGGGAGTCAATCCTTTGACTCCTGATACCGTCGGGATGGATTGGATCGATTCCTTGGTTCTTATGCATAAAATTGCGCTGCTTTTCCCAAGTATGGAAAATACGGAAATCTCAGCTCTGTGCTTTTGATCGCAGCATTACAAGCAAAAATAAAGTTGTGGGTGGGGGGGAGAAGAAGGGAGATGGCTTCCCCGTCTGTTAAATTTCCTACAACAGACAATTCTGCTTACGCCCAATAGTCGGTTTGTCTTCGTGGTATTGAAGGTTGCAATACTGAACCTCAGAAGAGAGAGAGAGAGAAAGGGGGAAATGTATATCCTGAATTGTATAACGAATTAAAGTGATCCGTGACATTTATTTATTTATTGGTTCGATTTATATGCCGCCCTTCTACGGAGACTCAAGGCGGCTTACAATGCGTTAAGCAATAGCCTTCATACTTTTTTTGTATATACCTACTTAATAGGTCTCGCACCCCCCCACCCCCCAGCGGTGTTCTTTTTTTATACAAAGTCAGTTTATTGCCCCCACAATCCGGGTCCTCATTTTACCTACCTCGAAAGGATGGAAGGCTGAGTCAACCTTGAGCCTGATGAGATTTGAACTTGCAGTAATTGCAGGCAGCTGGTGCTACTTAACAGCCCTTTAGTCTGCTGCGCCACCAAGGCTCTTTTGTCTTAAATACTAACCCATAAATTTTTGTAGACCGGATCAGCCAAATAAATGACATTTACAAGTACATTTAGTGTGGGGTGGGCAGAGAAATGATGTAGTGTTTTTAAAAAATGGGAGCGGTTTAGTCAGAGAAAAGTAAGACCTGATTTGCAAATTTTGCAAGATTTTTAAAAGTATTTCGTCCTAGTCCTTTACATAGAATGATTCTTGGAAGTACCTTAACAGTAGATATTAGTATTTTTAAAATATTTCATTCTTTTCAGTTGTATAAGTTTTCATGGGTTAGAATTTACTTTTTTAAAATTCAAAAACTATGGAGCTGCCTGTGTTCTAATATTGAAGCAGTTGGATGTTGGTTTTAAAAAAAAGGGACCAGTTGCTATCAATGCCTGTTAGATATAATGGCTGTTTTATGCCCTCTGAAATCCCAGCAGTTTATTTCAAATGCCACATGATAAGCTGCTTCCTGAATATTTTTGGTTAGTCAGTACAGAGTGGAGATAGATCCTTAGCCTGATTCTGCAGGACTCTTCTCATGTGGGGTTATCTTCAGCTGACATTTGTACATGGGTGCTAAGGAAACAAAAAATAAAATGGGGTTAAATAACTGCATAATGCAAAAATTGTACAGCCTGAAACAATTAAGTTGAAGAAAACTAAATCAGAACAGTGATTGTGATAAGCCTGCTGTCCACTACAGCTGCTGTCTGGCTCTTCATGTATCCATGCAGATACCCAAACAAAACAATTGGTGCTTTGCTTTGCTTTGCTGATAAGGGACTAGCAAGAGAAGATTGCAAAGACAGAGATACAGTATTCACAGGAGAAGCAGGAAGAGACATTTAATTGGCATTAATTTCCAAATGTCATATTAATTTCAGGGGATTCTGGAGCAAAAGAGAGCAATGGACGAGTTTTGATCATGTAACAGGGATGCTTAATGATTGTAAGGACTGGTTGTAGGTCACTTTTCAGTGTCATTGTAACTTTGAATAGTCACTAAATGAATTGTTGTAAGTTGAGGATTACTATTATTATTCAGTCAAGGAGTTGATGTTAAAATACCATCTAATTTCATCTGTTTTCCTGAAGTAGAAGGAATAATTGCAGATTGGATCGCATCTAAGCTAGGAACAAACATAGGTTCATATTTAATGTTAAGATTGCTTATTTAGAATGCTTTGAGAACCAGTGCAAATCTAGAGGAAAAAATGAATCAAGGAAACAAGGCTATTCTAAGCTTATCTACATAAAGAGATTTACTTAAAAAGAATGCAAAACTATTAGTAAGATCAGTTGGCACAATTTTTCTCCCATTTCAATTTTATATATTGTTGACTAGATACCCTGTCATGTAAACGTGGATAAGTTCTTTCATGCTCATATCTTTACCAGAAACCTGAAACCAAACAATTTAACCCTACATTTACTAGCACTGATTATGGTACCTAATCAGGTAATGAAACATCTGGAAGCAAACAACCAAGCTCTGAGAGCACCAAAGACTATACAGGAAGGAAGACTTTCCAACTCCATGGCAAGGCTTGTCTGGTGACATACCAAGCAAGGATGGGGAGAGTGAGTCTGTTTCTTTGAATGTGAGAAGAGCCGCTCAGTTTGATAAGGGGAAAGGATTTTGGAGATAACCTTGAAGAAGGAATGAAAGGCCAGTTAAGTAAACTTCACCTCAGCCCTGTGAAGTGGGAGGGGGAGGACAAGAAAGAAATTTATTCTTTTTAAATTAGATTTGGTGTAAGTAGGGGCAGTAGGGAACTGCCAGATTTTCAAGCTATCCTACAACAAAGAATTTCAGTAAAGTAGTGCTATGAAGGATTGACATACACTAATTGTTGTTTCTTTTAACAGCAATCTGAAATTCTTCAATCTTCCAAATTCTTTCTTAGCTTTAGCTTCTCTTCTCTCTTGGCAATTTCTACCATCTATGCTGGTATCCACCTTGTTTTCTTCTGTATCTTAGTATTTTACAATATCTTCTCATTGATCAACTTTGATTTCATTCCACAGTTCCCCATCATTCGAGTTCCCCATCCATAGTTCCCGATCATTTGAGTTCAGTACTTCAAAATGATTCCTGATATTCTTCTTGAAAATGGAACTATATGCTCAAGATAGAATCATAGGGCTGCAAGGGAATTTGGAAACCTAGTCCAAACCCCTGCTCAGGACAGGAGACCTTGTACCATCTCAAATGGTCAAATGGTTATCCAGTCTCTTTTTGAAAACCCACAACTCCAGGAGGCAAGTTATTCCATTGATCAATTGTTCTCACCATCAGAAAACTACTTACTGGATTCTCTCTTGAGAAATTTCCACCCTTTACTTTTTGTCCTGCCCTCTGGAGTTTTGGAGAATCAGTCAATCCTCTCTTCTCTATGACAGACCTTCAAGTACTGGAAGACAGTTAACATGTCCCACTAATCCTTTTCTTTGATAGGTTAGAGACATATTTACCTCCTTCAACCGTTCTTCGTACAATTTAGCCTCAAGACCCTTTATTATCTTTGTTGCTCTTCTCTGCACACTCTCTAGGGTATTAGCATATTTTTGTATCATGGTAACCAGAACTAAACATAGTATTCCAAGTGTGGGCTCACTAGCGCAGTATAAGGTGGCAATATCACTTGATGTTATCCCTCTGTTGATACAGCCCAGGAGTGCATTGGCTTTTTTGGCAACTGCAGCACATAGCTGGTTCATACTTAAATAGTGGTCCACCAGGTCATCTAGATCTCTCTCACGTACTACTGTTGAGCCAAATATCACCTATTTTGTACTTATGCATTTGGTTTTTCCTGTCTAAGTGTAGGATCTTACTTTTCTTACAACTGAACTGCATCTTACTGGATAGGTCCCAATGCTCAAGTCTGTCAACATCCTTCTGAATCTTGAGTCTATCTTCAAAGTGTTTGCAATTCCTCCCCCCTCCCAGTTTGGTATCATCTGCAAATTTGATGAGTTGCCCTTCTAATCCCTTGTCTAGATCATTTATGAAGAAGTTGAAGAGTACTGGGTTGACATCATATTGTGGAACTGTTTGGCTTTGTGTTTCTGCTTTAGCTTGACCTGGAACTTGCACGTGAGCAGATCATAATAAATTGTACAACCAACCCTTGATCATGTATTTGAATTCTTCCATCTCCTACTCCAATAATATACTCAATTTGATTTCTGTGTGCTCCATCTTGTGATTTCTTTGTGCTCCATTGGTTTGATTGTTTGAAAATTGGCAATGCAGAAATCAATGGAGAGGTTATTCCCCCTAGTTCATTCCTGTTTCCTAGGCCATACAGTCCAACTGTTTTTTTTCCTTTTTCAATCTCTCACAGTTTATAAAGATGAGGGTGTCTTAAGCATTGGAAAGATCAGCTTCTGCGAGAGTCATCCATTTTGATATTGCAGAGCAAACAGAAAATACAAGGTGATGGGGAAGGGGGAACTAAAATGGAAGGCAGGTTCTTTGAGAGAGATATGTTACTGGAGGCTTTGTGGGATGAGTGGACCAGACAATTGGCCATATTAGACCTGTAGTCTGGTGGTTCCATGATCCCACTTCGGTTTCCAGTTAGGGAACATGTGTTAGGGCTATCATAAATGAAGTCCAGACATCCAGACAACTTCTACATCATAGCAAAGGATCCATAAAACATTTAACTTACAGTTAACTCTCTGTTGGAT